CCGCCGGGGAGAGCGGAGAGCCCCGGCCAGGCTCTCCGCCCTGCTCCCGGCACTCTGGCTGCCGGGGAGAGCGGAGCCGCGGCGGGCTCGCCGCCCTCCCCCCGGCACTCCGGACGGTCAGGGATTGCGGGCCCGCGGCTGGGCTCGGCGCCTTCCCCTGCCGCGCTGGAGGGGGGGGAGAGGCGGCGGGTGGCTTTTTTGCCTAGGGCAGCAAAAAAGCCAGAGCCGGCCCTGATGCTCATAAGTAGGTATTAAAATGACTTAACCCTTGGCATGCTGGGAGGGAGGGCATGGATGTCAGTGAGGGGTAAAACAAATTATATTGTGTGTATCGTTCAGTGGATAAGGCAGGAGAAGCACAGAAGCCACGGCACATTTCCAGGGATCAGATGTAGATTTGTCACCAGAGCGGTCCCCTATCAAATTGAAACCCACCAGACTCCTGTGTGAGACATGAGTGGGAGGGAAGGGAATGTAATAACCCGAAGAAAAATGCATTTCCTGCGCTGCTGTGTGTGCATACAGGGACGGGCTGTGAAAGACGTTGATATTTGACCCCAGGTACATACATTCTGAGGCTATTTTCCCCAGTTGGTTGAGTAACAGGGAAAGCACTGTTTGAAATGAGGGGCAGTGGAAACTTGGACAGGAAGCCTGGCAGCTGGCTCCCACCCACTCATCTCCAGTGGGCCATTTGGCTGCTATGCCGATGGCAAGATTTTGGTCTATGGTTTAACCTTAAAATCACCAACCTGTGTATATCGGCATCTGCTCAGTCTGTGCCAGGATGCAGTTCCCCGGTGAAAGGTGGCACTTCCTAAAATCTCTCCCATTGCGTGTCGTGATCCAAGTATTGATCTGGGCATCACTCCCTGGGGAAAAATGCTGCCTTTGCAGCAAATCTAGCACCACTTCTGGCCCTGACTGCACAGATTCCTCTACCGCTGGGATGTCTGCATGTGAGTTTGGAAGCCTGTTAAAAGCCAAATGAGAGAACTTGGAAGCATCTCCTGGGGGGATTGGCAAATTTCCTCTATAGGGTTTTCATCCCAAGAAGGTGGATGCGGGACTCCAGAGAGGATCTTCATTTGCACTGAAATCCTCCTTTCATTTTACACCTGGAGGGAAGAATGGTGCCCAAACACTGTAACGCCCTCTTGTTTCCCCTGACGCTTAGTGTCACAGACACGTCAGGGGGGAAATGCAACAGGGTGGTATTACAGCAGCCTTCCAGGGTTTCCCCTTCAACTTCTTCTGCCTGTACAGCTGGCATCAAAGGAGCTGGTGGCACTGCTGCCACACTTGCCCGCTGCCTGCTTTTCATAGACATTTGGTGCATGATGGAAAAAGCTCCCAAAACACTGAGTTGCTGTAGGATTCTGAGACGTGTCTGGCTTTGACCCGGCTGCACCATTTTGTAGGGCACAGCAAGGATGTGAGGGGTTAACATGGGATTGTACTGTGCATTCCCTGCGCTGAATGATAATGGCTTTTCCAAATACCCTTCTCACGGGTTGCCTAGCATCTGTCGCGGTGGCTCAGTAATGTAATTAACTGCCACTCGGCTATTAAATATCGCAGCAAAGAGTATGAGGACTCCATCATTTTCAGCTCGGGGCAATGGGGCCTCCCCTCAAGAGCCATCCTAGAGCTGAAAATTAATTTTCTCAGTGAGCTAGTGAACAGTAAACCTCCATGCCAGCCACCCAAGTGGGAATGGGGCTAGGGATTGCATTGGCTGGACTGTGATGCTTCGTCTACTGAATTCAATTTTGCTCAAGTCTCTGGATCTCTGCAAGGGATAGGGAGTTTATGCCCTGCATGCGCCAAACCCACTAACAGTTTTCTTTGTGATTTTTCTTTTTATTCAATTTAAAACTTTCTAGACAGAACAGTTTTTAGGTTTAAACATTCCCCAGTTGTCTGCAATCTCGAACTAGCGCATGAAAACCAGGAAGTGAAAATGACTAGCCCGGCCACATTATTCAAGATGAGTGATCTGCAAAGAGCCACTGTAAATTCAATGTAGAGAATTAAAGGGTTTTGGCTAACCTCTGATGGGTTATTAGTAACCCAAAGAAATAAGACATTTAAAAGCACAGGCATGCTAACCAGGTGTCCCTGTCCCTGATATATTTTAGCTTTTTCAGCCCATTATTTTTTAAACTAATTTGTTGTTGCGTCCTCTGTCCTGGGTGTCTGACAGCTCCTTAAATCAAAGCACACTGAGAGTTGAGAGTGAAGCCCATTCTGGAAAAGGTTTGCCCTGCATGTGTACCCCACAGTGCACCCCACAGTACACTTTGCCCTGACCTATACTGGGCCCTGGGCAAAAGCTGGGAAGGGTGCTCTGGGAATTGGTCTCTAATTTGGTTGATCCCAAATGCTGTTAGGAATCTGGAGAGGACATTACATGTATTGGTCTGTATTCCCACTGCGAACGTTGGGGGGTTCGTGGGGGTCAGTTGCAGCTTCCTGAATATGGGATTCTGTGCTGTCCCCAGCCCCAGTGTAGATTAGGAGAGCTGGGGTGTAAAGTAAGCCAGCTGGCTGGGCCCCCTAAGGACCATCCACCAAGCAGGGACAGCCAGAATGCAGCATTCTTCTGCTGTACCACCTCTGAATTCCTCCCACTCCCTGATCCACTCTCTACACTGGGAGAAGCAGAGGGTGGCTGGGGGTGATGAGGGGCTGGTTCTTCTGGCTCACTGGGAAGTGCAAGGAAGAGCCAGCTGCATTCCACTCCCTTTGCTCCGCCGGGCAGGCCAGGCCAGAGAATCTGACCCATTCTCTTCGGAAAGCTCTGTTCAGAGGCACTTCCTGTTTTTTCCGTCTTGGGAGGAACCTGCCACCCATAGACTTTTAATCCTTTTGAACTTGTGGAGTGTTTTGGCCCAGTCCCCTCTCTGCTGTACCTCATAGCAGGGGTTTGATTGCTACTGCCCTGTATGCAGTCCCATGGACCAGAGTTCTCAATAAGAAGCACCTACCCCCTGGCCCTTCTCTCTCCACCCTGGTACGTACCAAACCAAAGGGTAAGCCGTGCTTGCCCGTTTAGAGGCCAAATGGAACTTTTGCCATCTTTGGCTGCTAATTCTTATTTGTCTAGAAGGTTTCCCTGTGATCCTGGTTGGAGCCCTGAGGATTTTCTCACAATCCATCCTTGCAGTCCCCTCCACTCGGAGCAAGGAAAGCATAGCAAGGAGTCCATCAGTACCACCCCTTATTCGTCTAGAGGGGTGGTTTTGAGTGACCCTACAGGGACACAATGTGCTTCCTCCACTGTCAAACACAGTTGATCCAGGGGCGTGAGACCAAGCCCAGAAATCAAACCCATGGGTTTGTAAAGCACCAGCACCAGGCGTTTTAACCCTGTGTTAAGAGCTGGAAGGTGCCGACACACGAATGGGAGTTTTTTCAAAGGCACAAATGGAAGTTAGGCACCTAACTCACAGTGGGACTTGGGTACCTAATGGCCCTTTATACGTTTGAAAAGCTCCCTGAAAAAGCCTGGCCCAAAAACTCCAACCCTGCTTTAATTTAAAACATAACAAACATAACAACAATGAATTGTTTCCTGCAGAAGGCTTGGCCTCCAATTTGGCCATGTTTAAGCCCCACGTGGTTGGCATCAGCCTACCTTTCAATGAGGATCTCCGTGCCCCCTCCAAGAATACAGTGTGACAATAATTTAGTGCTGATCGCAAGCCGTAATTCCAGGGATCAACCATGAGTAGCAGCTTAAAAAGCAAAAGCCTAATCTCTCCCACCGCAGAGCCCTCCAGCTGATGTGTGTGCCTCCAAGGGTCAGTGACCCATGAAATACCAGACTTTTGTCCGTGCTGTGTGGGAGGAGCTATGTAAGCATGGCAATCCACCCTCTTCCCATTTGGTGTCTCAGATGAGATTTAATCAAGTACTTCTTTTAAGACAAAACTCTCCCCTTTCCTCTCCCACCCGCCCCTTATTATATTTATGGACATTTTCTGCATTAAACACACAGAATAAGACAACATAAAATTGGCTTAGCCAACTTTTGGCACTTCTATGGGAATCAGCTCATGACTAGCAGAATCAATGCAAAGAGGCAAATGCAAACTCCCAAAACCTCCAGTATAAATGCAAATCAGGAGCTGGGTTAACCGCTTAATACAGTGTTTCCCAAACTGGGGCCGCCGCTTGTGTAGGGAAAGCCCCTGGCGGGCCGGGCCGGTTTGTTTACCTGCCGCGTCCGCAGGTCCGGCCGATCGCGGCCCCCACTGGCCGCGGTTCGCTGTCCCGGGCCAATAGGGGCGGCGAGAAGCGGCACAGGCGAGCGATGTGCTGGCCACGACTTCTCACCGCCCCCATTGTCCCGGGACGGCGACCCGCGGCCAGTGGGGGCCGCGATCGGCCGAACCTGCCGCGTCAGCAGGTAAATAAAACTGACCCGGCCCGCCAGGGTGCTTACCCTGGCGAGCCGCGTGCCGAACGTTGTCAACCCCTGATGTATAGGAACAGAAGTCTCTCTCTCCAATTGATCTGTCCTGTGTGAGGAGCCCTCTATGTACCAATTCAAAAGCTATGCTATAATTTAATGGATCTCAGTCATAATGAGATTCAAATCTGTAACAATTCCTTCCCGAGGTTATTTAATTACATCTTAGATTACAAGCATTTATAAAATGTAATTTACTGTTCATCCCTTCTCGTCTCTCTCTGCTGGGGGCAGTGAAGCAGCGTAGTCCGTTTCATCTTCTAGTGAGGCCGATTGTAATTCCTTGTGCACGGACATTGCTGTGTTTGCACGCTGGCTATTTTAGACTGACCTGTTTGAACTCTCGGGCCTCTAGAAACCACAGTTCAAAAACCTGCAAACGCTTAATAAAAGTTGCCCAGGGCGTGGCTACATAGGGTCAATTTAAAAAATGGACCATTCCTAAAATACTGTAGCTAACCCCCTCTCTGGGCAAGGCCTTAATGTAGTTGTAGAGCAGCTGAGCATCTTGTCATTACTAAAGTGACCAAGTCACAGTGAATTTTTGACAGTGTCTCATGTGGAAACTCATTTGCCTCCACTGGATTGCAAAGGCAGGATAAGCAGTGGCTGCCGCTTGCTGCCGCTTTACAAGCAGATGTTTGTGTCTGAAGCCTGTTTATCTGGCAGAGTCAGGAGGGAGTGGTTGGCCTGCAGAGCCAGGTATATAAAAATCAAGCTTTTCCCAAGCCTGGGTTGGGGTAGACAAACACCTGGTTCGTTCATTCCATGCAGAACCTGAAGTCTGGCCCCAGGCTGTATGTATGAGCCCTTTAGATACTTATGTGATTGGTTTTTTAAGAGCGGGTTGGTGGGAAAACAGGAAGTATTTTTCCCTCCTCTCCAAAAAATTCCCACTTTTCTTCCATTTTTGCTCCAGTGTAATTTTGCTGGGAGTTTCCAGACCAGGCCTCCCAGTCTGTACCTGTTGTGAGCCGAGTATGCAGAGCCTCCAGTCCCAGGGTACAATCTAGACTAACGAGTAGCTGGGCCACCTCTGCTGTGTAACCTGGGATGCCCTTTGCAGGGCTTTGCTGCTGTAGTCTCCAGCCTGGACGGCTCACAGACAGCCTCCAAATCACTCCCAGCAATGTCTGCATGTGTGCTGCAGCCAGCCAGCTACACCAGCCTTGCTTATACTGCAGCCTTAGATTTCCCCCAGAAATGTATCTCCTGCACTGCCTAGCCTTCTCCTGGACAATACAAGTTTACATAAAGTCTCTTAGCTGTTTAATAGAAATAATATGCACCCAACTGGCCACCCTAAATGGAGTTTCCCAAACGCTTCAGATAAAACACTAAAACAGTGGTTCTCAAACTGGGGCCGCCGCTTGTGTAGGGAAAGCCCCTGGTGGGCCGGGCCGGTTTGTTTACCTGCCGGGTCCGCAGG